CCGCGTTACTCTTCTCTGACACTTGACATATTTCCGCGCGCAATAGCCTCCGCTGAAGGATGCCGGGGGGAAGCTTCGGGGACGCGCATCCGATCTTTCCCGGCTGAAACGACTTCTTTGTGCGGCTGATGAAGTCTCCCGGCGTCGTTCGTCCCGCTTTACCTTTCGGCTACCGGGCCGGCCCGGCCCGTTTCTTAGCCGTCGGCCTCGGCCATTCGAGCGCGCCGCGTCCGAGCGGGCGCGAAGGTTACGAGCGCGCGCGCGGGCTTTTCAACGGCGAGGAGCGGGCCGCGGTCCTTGAACGAAGAATAACATCGGTGTCTGTTTTCTTAGCCGACGGTCCGAAGTCCGATTAAGAGGGAAGGAGCGCAAGGCCGTCCTCCGCCGGCGATGGAATTCGGGTCGGCGGAAATTCCGCGCGCCGCCTGTCATCGCCGGATCGATGTTCCGTCGCGTCGACCGGCCCGGCAGCGGTTTCAATTTCAGACGGCAATCGTCGCGCGTTGCATGACGCGGGGGATACAAAAAGCACAGCGAGAAACGCCGGCGATTGATCGAATCGGGTGCAGCCGCCTCCGGAATCGAATCGCGGCGAATCGAATCGAATCGAATCGAATCGAACGGACGGGACCAGCGGACCGCGCTGTCCGCGAAATTGCTGGTAAACGGTTACCAGCTCGCCGGTTTTTCGAGAATATTCCCGCGGCTGATTACCTTCTCGGACGCGCGGTGCTTCGCTGGTAACTGCGGAACTCGTTTACAGTCTGCCGGCGATGCCTTCAGCGCGAGCTGACCGCCTTCCGTCGCGCAACTTCGCTTTGTGACCCGAAATTTCCTCGCAGTTCGCAGATTACCGGCCCTAATTAATTCCCCGGCGCAGCGGGAGGAAGTTGCCAAAGCCACCGGCAGACGGACGAATGGCGAAGGTGAAATTGACCGCGAACTTTCGCCAATTTGGCACCGGCGGCCGCGCGCGCCGGTGATAAACTCGGCCCCTTCGAAATTGATTGGTGCATCGGCGAGGCGGACGGCGGCCGCGTAACTGTCACCGGCCGGCGATAAATATTGCTGGGGACCGATCGTTGCTAATCACGGGACAAAAATAACATGTCGGATCATGAAGCGGCACGTATTCCAGCGGCCACTCGTGCCCTTTCGGCCGCCGGCCGAGTACAACGATCGTTTTTCCCCGTCGATCGCGGCTAACGAGTGGCGTCACGCGGGAGCCGGCGACACGGGCCAATTAGCCCGTTGTTCGGTTTCGTTCGATCGACGATGAGCCGACGGAAAGGCGCGTCATACTGCTATAACCTCGCCCGTCGATATCGAAAACGCACTTAAGTCCACCGGTCCTTCGAACGATCTCTACACAACTCCGCGATCTTCTATTCAGCATTATTCATAAGATCTCTAAAAATGCAAGCTTAATCACCTTCCATACTTCATACTTCCGATAACTCGCTGCTCGATACGGTTATACCCAACAAAACACAAATTCCCCAGAACAACGCGAGACCTCAACCCGCAAAGCGTCGCGCGTTCGACGACAGGGTCCAATTAGTCGGTCGATCCGCGCCGATCCAAAGGAGACGCAGCCCCGACGCTCGGAAAAGTCGCTAATAGCGAAAACCTACTTAAACCGATCGTTCGCGAGTAAGAGTCCTCTCGCGATGCTACGAGCGTCGTATAAACTCAACAGCTTCTCGTGGATGATCGCGAAACCTATTCCCTTCTCGTCCTCCTCTCCTCGGAAGGAAAATCCCGGCGAACGATAAAAATACCGATGGCCTCTAAACCCAGAAATCGGTATCGTTCCAGGTTGCTTCTTCGGCTTCCCGTGTCGCGTCGCCGTCGGTGTGCGTGGCGTTAGCGCGCGACGATCGGCCGGGGATGAAAGGAGCAGGGGATTACAGGGGCTGCGATAGCTATTGGCCGATCCCAGCGGCTCAGCGCTAATAACCGTGGAACACGAAGACGAGTTATGACAGGTGATGTCGTGGGGCCGTTCGGCGGGGCGGAATTGAGCGGACGACATGTGCCATTGTTCAAAGCGGGACACATTCCTCCCGGCTGCCCCCTCGCCGGCCCTGCCGATCCGTAGGTTCGCTATTAGCGCCGCGTGACCCCCCGACCCCGCGGCTCGAAGGTGCTGACGGGTTTCCAGTTAGCCGGCCGCTCCGGTGTAACCGTCCCGAATCCCGGTTATGGTTACGCTTCATTGCCGGTTTACTCCGACCGCGATTCACGACGGAAGCACCGGGGGCAGACTGCGTTTCCGAGACAGTTCACCGGGAGACAGTAAAACGCTGCTCTGCCCGGAATAATATCGACGTTAAAGGCTAATAATCGTAAACGCCGGCGAGCCGTTCTCTCCCTTTTACGAATGTAACCGGGGGGGCGCGAGAGACCGGCAACACGGACTCCGCGGAGAACGACTCTCCGTATATTTCTGCTGCTGCGTTGGCCGGTTATGGACTCGTTCGGGAAATCCGGGGCAAAGGATGCTTTGATCGGTCGAATGTGTTCGGAATCCTGCGAATCGAGAAATCGTACGATTCCGTGTCGGATCGGGCTGAATGAATAATGTTTGCGGAATTCTGCGTTGAAACGCGCTCGAATCTAGTTAAGATTGAATTAGTCGAACGGTGAGTCGTTCGCAGACGACCGGCAGTTTTCATATCGTAAGTCAGATTTGGCTACGAAATAGAGATAAAGAAATTAGATTTTTCTTAGAAACAAACAAGAGGAAGGATGAAGATTGGAAAATCGAACGATGTAGGGATGGATAGAGTTAAATGAACAAAAGAGAACGCAGAATTCTCACTGCGGTATACTGAATCTAGCGCGTAGATTCGTTTAACTATTTTCATTCGTTTTCATTGGAGAGATAGAGTTACGTATAATTTATATAAAACTGAATATTCTTAACACTTTGCATTCTATAGACTCCATCAGGTCGCCATTTACAGTATTAGATATTTCTATAAACAAAGCTGAAGGAAATTATCTTAACCCTTTGACCTCTGTAGGCTCCAGTATTGCACCAGTTATAATATCAAATATTTTAATGAATCTAAAGAAACTACCCTAAAATTATTCGATTTTCCACGCATCCAAATTTTGTGCCAAGGAAAATAAAAGATCGAAATAGCATTTCTAATTTTCGCTAGGAATACTATAAAAATTAGTTGCAGTTGCTCACAGATTACAAAACAACATGGAGTGCTAAATCCGGTCATTTGACCTATGCGGTTAGTGTTAACCAGTCATGTCGATGACTCCGGGAATAATTCCTGATTATAGTTCACGCCGACATAAACAGAATTCCTTTGCGCACGTGTCTGTTGCGAATAATTGATTAAAACGCGGACGAAACAGAAAGGGCAGCTGTTTCTTAGAGTCCAGGTGCCACATAGGTGATTATCGGTCCTCGTAGAAATACAATCCGCCTGATCGAGGGTCATCCGTGGAGACACGGGCAGCCGGTTCGAAATGTTTCCACCTATTTCGTCCCTTTGGCCGGGAGCAAAACTGAATCGATCCAATTGGGCTCGCGTCTGAGCACGTATTTTGCTAATCGATTCGATTGAAGCGCTGCCTGCGCGGAATTTCAACGAGGCGCCGGAAGAAAGCAGCCGTGCTCGATAATCACGATGTAAGCGCACGTGTAATACATACGCGTCGACCCCGCAGGGCTAGGGTTAACGTAACTGCGGGACGCCGGCGAGTATCGCGCTCGCAGCGTAATACGCGACCGTCCGTTCTCCCTTTCCCGGCACTAACGAATCCTCCTTTTCCAGGTGATGCTAGCGGCACGCTGTGGCGGTTGAAGTGGCTGTCGCGAAGGCTGAAGAAGTGGCGAAGTTGCTGAAAATCGGCGCCGGGAGCGGAAGATCCGGGCAGCGGTAGTGGTGGCGGAACGGCAGGGGTGAGTACATGAATCAAATTGCCAGCTACCTCGTAAATCAGCGAGAATTATTCGCAAATTCCCTTCGCGATTGCTGCAAAAACAGTAAGAGAAGTTCCTTATAGAAATTGCTAGAAATTCAGTAATACTCGGAGTGAGAGTTAATCGAGACCTCAGTAGAAGCACCATGAGTTTTCATCGAAGAATTTTGAAGAGCCAGTTTGACTCGGTAGTCCCAGTGTCACCTAGAATTAGCTAAGACGAATAGTTGCAGGGTTAGCAACGAAGAACTATTCAAATTCGCAATTACTGCAAAAATAATAAGAGAAATTCCCTATAGAAATTGCTAGAGATATTCAGTAGTAGTCAGATCGAGAGTCGATCGTGCCCTCAATATAAGCACCATGAGTTCCCATCGAAGAATTTTATACAGCCAGTTTGCTTCGGTAGTCCCAGTGTCACCTAGAATTAGCTAAGACGGATAGTCCCAGCGTTACCACCGGAATTATCTCGAAATCGGACAGTTCCAAGCCGTAACCTAGCCCAGACGTTCGAATGACGAATTACCGCGTCCAATCCCCGGGTCGGATTCGACCGGAGATACCCTGGCGGCAATTAGAATCCGCGAACCAGAGCAAACAAGTTTTATCTGCAATTTAAAGGATAGCCGACCGGCGTCTGGCGAATTCTGATTGAAAATAGCGGAATCGTGCCGTGAATGGACGATCGTATCGGGCGCTCCGTCGAACGTCCGATATCCTGGCCCCGGTATCCGGCCAAGCATTCGACCCCGAGGCGTCGTGATCGTCGTTTCCTCGTCGATGTTAGACGCCGGCGGACCATCCCCTCGAACGGACACGAACCACGTTCCACGCTCCGGGCGGCGGCTGCGGCGGCCGTTCGTGCGCCGACCGATCGAACCCTTTATCGAACGATTCCGAGTCGGTCTCCGGGCGGAGTAATCGGGTCGCGATAAGAATCGGGCATTAAACCGTTCGAGGATCGATTGAGGCATTATCTCGGCCGCATTATGCCGGTCTCGTGACTGTATCGCTCGGTTGACGGTGGCCGAACGGGCGGGGAAAGAATGAGCCGAGCGAGACGCGCGGTTATCGCGGCTCGAATTGCTCCGGCGACCGATTAAGTAGCTCGCGGCCGGCGCAAATTGAAAACACCGCGATCGGATAAACCGGCGGACGTATAATTACACCGGGCGCGCGCGATTAGACCGCCGCGATTTATCATTCCTCTTAATTGAAACGAAGGCGCGCCGATAGCGCCTCTCCGTTTCTTCTAATCGTTAATAAATCGTGGCTCGCGTGCTCGCTCGCCGGCCCCCCGGTGTATCGTTCGCTGGATGCTCGTTTCCGAGATCGCCGAGCGGGAGCCGGGGATAAGGAAATGCTCGAATCATTCTTCCCCGAGACCCACGAGTTTTTCGTCGATTCGATCGAATCCCGGACCGTCACGTGCCGCCTGGTCAAGACCCTCCTTTATGATTTACAGGTACTATGGGAGCGGGGGTATGGGGGGCGGAGGAGGGCTACAAGCCACGGACCTCCGGCGAAGGCTCGAGTCCCGGTGTTCAGGAAGCACTCTTCCCCAGAGCCCTCGTTCCTTAAGGCACGATGGTTACCCGGCAGCGGAGGGAAACCACTACGACCAGGAAGAAAGGTAAGCTGCTCTGACCCTTCCGGAATCTAGTTTCTCCCCGTCGACCTGTATCGGTCGGTCAATAGGTCGGATTCTGAACGTTCCTCTTCTTTAACCGGTTAACACTAGGTTTACGGACGTTCGTCCGGTTTATTCTGTTGTTCCTAGAAAAATTGGTGTTCAACCCTTTGGATCTTGGAAATTAGGGATTTAAAATTATAAAATTGCATCAACCAAACGACGTAAACGTTTGCCAAGTAATGTTTATAAAATTCAGTGTGCGTCAAATTGACGCACTCCGTGAACCTAGTGTTAACTGTGTTTGACGAGTATACGCGTCATCGTAAAGCTTGACATGATATTCTTTAGTTTTTCACAGAAACGTAATTCTTTGTTTCGCTTTGATCTTTCATTAACCCTTTGCGCTCGAGGGGTGACTCTCACTCACCACTTTCATACAGTGAAACTATGAAATTTGATATTTAATATTATACCTCGTATAATGCACCAATTAGGAAATATTGAAATAAAATAGCTTTGTTCATCAATGTACGTGTGATTCCTCTTCGAGTCAGTTTCACAAAATATCGTCGTTATCTCGTCAGGAAATGTTCGAATATTTCTAGTGGAAAACTTCCGAGTGCGAAGGGTTAAACTTTGTATAATGTATCAGTGTACGAAATATTGAAAGAAAATAGTTCTCTTCCTCAGTGCATGTGAGATTTCTTAACTCAATCGAAGAAAATGTCATCTGTATCTCATCAGAAAATGTTCGAATATTTCTAGTGAAAAACTTCCGAGTGCAAAGGGTTAAAATATACTCTATGCATTCATGCGTTCGACGACACGCTCCATTTTTCGATTTTATTGCGAGAACCGGAGGTTTTTCCAACTAAATTCCACAGTTAACAGGTGAACCCCTTGCCTTACGGTTTAATTTCGTTTTGTGAGAACTGCTCATCGTTAATCATGCACTAGCAAAAGGAAACATGCTCTTTCTATGTATAGATTTAATGTGAACCGTAGAAATTGCTGACGAGAACAATGTTTCGTTTGAACTTAACATAATAACGTTTATGTTTGTTAAACCATATTAGTAAGGCAAGGGGTTAATACTAGATTCACGGACGTTTATTCTGCTCTTTAGTCTATTGTTCTTAGAAAACTACACGCTCGTCTATAGAAACCGCGAAGACTATAGCTTCAAAACTAGAGTATTTCCACGCGTACTCTCGTAATTGCTCGAGTCGAAGTCCACTTAAACTATTACTAAATAACGTTTAGTAAATTCAGTATCCGGCAACTGACGGGTTCCGTAAACCTAGAGTTAACACGCTGATTGCCACGAAAACCTTTAAAGTTTTATACGTCGCTTATTCCTTCGTAACAAACGTAAACAGGAACAGCTGCTCATTATCTGATATTATAATACTTAAGTTACACTGTTATCTAGTAATTTACATTATGAAATATTTCCATTCTAATTGTAATTGTCAAGCAATTTGGTAGCTCCGGTAGCAACGATGGCGTGGCAGTCAACGTGTTAAACAGACAAATCAGAATAAATCGATAAAAAGTCGATGTAGTAAGATCTATCGTATCGCGAAGATCATTGACGAAAGAGGATGTACAAGCAGAATAGCGAGATGTGTAAAGAGGAGATTGATTTTCTCAACAGGGTTGGCCTGCAAGCAACCCTCGCTTCCGGTCAACCGACTTGTACAGGTTCCCGGCCCTGCAGACGCCAGGAGAACGAAGAGAATGGCCACGAGAAGCGTGTGAGACGCGCGAATGGCGGCTGCGGCTCGCTCTGCGGAAAGCTGCGCCGAATCTCCGTCGGGAGATTCCTCGGCAACGACGCCGAGGAAGATGAAGCCAGCAACGGGAAGAGGCATCGGCTCCGATGGTGTCGCAGGGACTTACGGTGGATCGCGGATGTGGCGACGAGGACCCTGCTCCTCGGGATCGTGCTCTTCGTCACGCCAGGTGAGTGCAACGAGCGTTTATCGTCCTGCGATTAGAGCTTCCGCGCTTCCTGCGTCGTAGGCCTACTGCTTTTCGTAAGGGAAAATATTAGCAACTCTCAGTAATGGTTATTCTGTGGGTAAAATGTTGATAAATCTATAAGGATTCATTTGGTCAATAATAATTCAGCACAGAAGCCCTTGCACCTTCCTTTCTTTTTCGTCGTTCGTTCAGAAACCATCGCAGAAAAGTCTCCCTACTCGAATACACACACACACACATCCTTATAATACACACGTTGCATGTTTTCTTACAAATCAATTAGAAGGAAACTAGATGTCAGTGTTTGAAGAAGTCAAGCAAACTAATCATTCTTTACGTCCTGAGAAACTCTCGTAGATCATTATTCTGTGTACTACAGTTTTAATGAAAACTAGATCATTCACGAATGAAACATATTCTTATTCTTTTATACTCAATATGATTAATTTCATTTGTGAATGATCAACTAGTTTCCTTTAAAACGAAGATTCTTCAAGATACATTCCCATTACTTTCTTTTATACTCAATATTATTAATCTATCGTCACGAAACACCAGATAATAGGACAACGGGAGCCAAGCGTGCGAACACACGGTCCACTCGTTATCTCCTCGTCTTAGCGTTCCGCGTCTCAGGTGAGCTTCCGCAGACGCGTTTCCCGCGTCCCGAGTAATTCGGGGCCGGATCGATCGTCGGACAGCGGACGTCGCAAATGGGAAACCCGACGATGACCTGTCGGAGGCGATGCGGATGTTTGTTGATCCCTTTGCGCGCGGTGCTCCAACACGCGTTTGTTTCATTACCGTCTACCGGTTACTCGCGTTGTACATCAATTACAGGAGCTCGCTAATCAGAACAAGTCTACCGAGCCACGGTAATGGCTTTCCATCGTCCCTCAAGTACGATCGAGCCGATCGATGCCCGGATTGAATGCGGGCTGGCTCGGCTGCGCGTAGGTCAGACCCCCGTAATCACGTCGATTGAGATCGAGCGGAGGGTTTCCGTCAAGATGCCTCTCGCGATTGGTAATACGTGTCTGCCGCCGCAGCGTACAGTTACACGTGTGCTCGGTCGTGCGCCGGCGAACCTCGCGCGCGAGCCCTGGAGACTCGACACCGTGTATCTCCCCTCGATGCGAGTCCGGGGATAATTCGATCCTCGCCGGCCCCGCGCCGCCGGCGGCGGAATTTCGCGAGTTTCCCCGCGACTCCTTCGACTCCGGAAACTTCGAGCGACGTACGTGATCGTTTACCAACCGTACTCTTACCCGAGAAACGATATCCCGTTGAAACCGAGGACGGTCCTCCCCGAGCGATCTCGAAGACACGAACGAAATTTCCCGGAGAGACGAGGGGACCGACGTATTTTTGATATTCCATAATTGGCGGAGTGTCCTCTCTCCTTCTCGGTTTTCAACCAGCTGAAACGCATCTGCGGCGGAGCAGCGGCGCTCTCGGAATTCACGTTGTCGCTCGTTTGTCATCGCGAGCGACGTGCTCCGAATTTAGTCGAAAGAACTCCCCGCGAGCGAGGGAACCGGACCGATCCCGCGAATATCGCCCCGAGTAATTTCTCCGGATCTATTATCGTTCGGGAACAGTCAGCCTGGAACAACAGCGACGCGGAAAATTCCGGGGGAAGAACGGTTGAAACGACGTCCCGCGAATCGATGGAAATGTTTCGGCACGGTTGCTCGCCGCGGAGCGGAGCGGCGCGGCGCGGGGATAAGTCGTGGCTGCGCGGAAGGAAAAGGCCGCGGCGAGAGAGGTTTACCTTTCCCGCGGAGCATTTCTATCGCGTTTATTTACGGCCGTTGAGCCGCGGCAGAAAAATCTGCGGCGCACTTAACCGATTTACCGGGACGAGATGAATAAAGTGACGTCAATGCGTGCTCGTTTCAAAGGACGCTTTCTCCTTTCAACGGGCGAGCGCCCTTACGACGCTCGTTAGCTTCATCAACGAGAACAATTTCATTAAAACTCCGTCTTCGCTGCCGGAAAGCTCGTTTTACGTGTGCCCTTCCCGCCCGCTAACGACGCGCCCTGCGCCCCCGCGGAAAATTATGAATCGATGTAATTTACCACCGCGTTCCTTCCCCTTTTGTGCAGCGAAACGCCGGCGTTTCGGATCGTTTAGCTTATTCCCGCGATCCCGAGCGAGCCGGGAACAGAAGGGAGCTCTCGCTTTCGATTTCAACTGGTGGATTTCGACCTCGTAGATCAGGGATACCAGGAGGGTAGGACGCGAGGAGGAAGGAAGCCGCGGAGAGGAAAAAGAGGAGTCGCCGAGCGAAATTAGCGGAAAAGTTGTTTAATATAGAAAGTTCCGGTAAGTCGCGGAGCGGCCGGAAGACGGCCATTGTGATCGTCACTTGCTAGGTCCCCGTTCCGCCGGGAACTTTTCAAATTAATGCTCGTAATTTATTTATTCCCCAATTATTTTCCGCCGGACCTTCCGCCCTCTTCGCGAGTTCCGGGCCGCGCCGAGTGCCCTTCAGGCTACTCGGACGGCGGCGACGGCCGCGAGTTTTTAAATTGATTCCGTCGAACGAATGGACTCGCCGGGCCGCGTAATTTCCCCGAGAAAGCCTGGCCCCGGCCGGCTTAAAAACCCCGGCGGCGTTTCATTGTAAATACCTGCGCGGCCGAAATGACTGCCGGTCGGTCGATCTCTCCTCGTGTTATTTCCCGAATATTTCTTTCGCCGGCGAGAGAGAGAGAGAGAGGGAGAGAGGAGCGCCGGGGGAGCGGAGACTTTATTCGCGAGCGCGTTCGGCCGCGATTAAATTCCTGTCTGGACCGCGAGGACTCGTGGCCGGGGAACGGCGCATGGCCGCCATAAATAACGAGGCATCCGCGCGTGTTGGCGGTGAACGATTATGGTTTCTTCCTCGCAAGCCGGCTTCGAGGCGGCCCAGATGGCAGGCGATGAAACGAGTTGCAAATGACGTTGTCCCTTCCTGGAGGGTACGTTGCCCCTTGCGCTAAAGCCCGTTCCGCACGGGAGATCGCCGTCGCGCGGCCGCGACGCGTTAGGCGCGATCGATAGGCGGCGAGAGGAAAAAAAAAGAACCGGAGCCCGCGACGTCGGGTCGGACGCGTTCCCGTGGAACGTCTCTAACCGGCGCGGCGGGGAACACGAGAACGCGTCTAGTTTCGGGATACGTTCGCCGGGAGGGTATCCAATTACGCTAAATGATTAAAACCTGTACTCTAGACGAAAGTTAGCCGAGGCGGTAGAATGCTCGTTAGCTCCCGGTTAATTGCTTCCTCCGCTCCGCGTCGTCTACGCCGTGTTCTCGCGTGTGTACCGAGCTTAAGCGTTCGCTCGCTGGCGAGCGAGCGAGCGAGCGAGCTAGCGCGAGGATAACTATTCGGCGTTGCACGCGATACACGGCTTACTCGCGTCGATGGAGAGGCTGCTTAATATCACGGTTCGTCGCTGCCCGAAAATTCGGCGACAGCGTAGAGATCTTCTTGCGAGGGCGAGCCTCCATGCGTCATCCTCGGGTAGCGTGTCTCGTTACCAGCTGCTCGCAGCCTATCGTGTGTCGCATTCCTGCGAGAAGGGATTCCCTCGTGGATCTAACTGTCGGATCACTACTCTCCGTTCAAAGTGATTCGATGAGGGTTCGCGAGCGCGTCCGCGACGAGATTAGAAATATTGAGATAAAGTAGCTTTGTTGCTGAATTTATCTGTGAATTATCGTTACATTAGTTTGAAACAATGTCGTCTTTATCTCATCGAAAATGTCTAAATATTTCCGAGAAACTTCCGAGTGCGAAGGGTTAATGAAACTCGGGTTAATGAAGGGTTAACCGACGATCAAGGAAAGAAGTCGACATATTTATAGGAAAAAGGAGCATCTACCGAGCGGCCAATCAGTGCGACTTTGCCTTTCTTTTGTTTCTCACGCGACAGCGATGAGTGCCCTACTGTCATTTTCGGGCGCGTAACAGTAAGGAAGTCACCTTATCGTCGGTGAATCATAATTCACGTTTAGTCGATCGTTGACCGAATCGTCGAGCTAATCACCAGAAATCAATCACTCGACGCGTATTTAAACAGAAACACTGAATGCTCCCGAAAGAACGAGCCACGCGCGACGGGAATCCGTAAATCCCGGTGGCAGGGATTACAAGCGATCGCGAGGAGAATCGACTTCGAGGCAGGGAAGTTTTCGATCGCGGATAACGGGGATAGCCGGAGCGTGCGCGGTCTTTATGTCGCGAATAAAAGCTGCCGACGCACCGGCGAAAGGCGTCGCTCGCGCGGCTACCAGGGGACACTGCCTAGGAAGCTAGGCGACGCACCCCCGAGCTGCGTGCGCGCATATTACGTGCCGAGTTCCCCGAACGCGTGCATCGACTCTAGCCTGCCAATAACCCGAACAATGGCCGGCGACAATGGGAAGGAAGGCACGATCAAAGTCGCGCTCGCAACGCAACGGCAACGCCGATGAACGCGCCTAGAGCGAACCGTCGCTTTCGAAACTAATCGGCGAGTCCGCTTCAGTCGCTGTTTGCGATCATTCTTCCCTTCGCTCTCCGTTTTCCAGCTCCCGGCGTTCGCCGCTGTCGAATTCCCTCCTTCGAATCGTCGCGGGACGATTCGCCGCGAGTGCTCGCCGGCTCCCGCGTTTACCCAGAAACTCCGAGCAGCTCGCGGTTTGCCTTCGACGCGGAATCGAACGAATCCCCTCGGCGAGGCTTCTCCTTTCGAGTTATTGTTACCCGGGCCAAGACAATTTCCGCGCCGCACCTTCCGGAACCGTAGCTGTTTGCACAGAAACAGTTGCCGCTGTGCGATTTTGGGAGGAATACGGTGGAAATGGAAACGGGATAGAGAAGTAAAGTTCTTTTATTTTACTGTTTATACAGTGGAAGGACTTTGTTGCTCTTGACTTGAATTAACCCTTTGAATTCTAGGCTCCAATATTGCACCAGGAATAATATTAGATATTTTAATGAATCTTAAAGAAACTACCCTGAAATTATTAGATTTTTCACGCATCCAAATTTTGCACTCAGGAGAATAAAAGATCGAAATGTTATAGCATTTCTCATTTTCGCTAGGAATACTATAAAAATTAGTTGCAGTTGCTGATAGATTATTATTATTATTTAGTTACACAGGTAAATTATGTAGGAGAATAAAAATTCTACGAAACTTTATGAAATCCCTTAAGTTTCATTAGGAGTACCATAAAAATCGTTAAAAACTTCTTGAAATTCTAATTTAAAGCCTGTCCTTCGCACTCATTCTTACATTCTTCTTAAGAATACCTTAACCTACGCTGAAAAATCCAAATAGAGACCAAATTTATTTTCAAGAAATGTTCCCCCGGCCTTACAATGTTCGGACGAGGGTAGGTACAGAGTAGCGCCTTTATGGCGAAGGCTTTTCCAAATAACAGTTTGATACCTAAATATATCTTAGATCAGTAAATTATTTGCAGTCGTGGCTATGCGCAGAAAAATCCAAATACTACACTATCAAAATCAAAGTCGGACAATTCGAGTCCCCGTAAGAGTCCCGAGTCATCCGCGTGGAAACATTTTTCTCCAGATTTCTGGGGCGTCGCAGCGATGCCGCGGCGCCGCGCGAAAAAGGCGGCCGCGACTCGTTTGTCGCGGAACTGGAGCATTAGAACGTCGTCGGGGCTCTTTCAATTCGTGAAATTGGTAATTGCAGCGACCGCCGTGCGTCCCCATAGCCGCGCGAGGGTTTGTCACGGTAACTGCTTCGCTAATTGTGCGCGACTCTTTATCCGCGAGCCCGTTTTTCACGATAACGAGATGGCCAGCCGCGCGCGCGCCCGCGCCTTCCTCGCGCCGCCCTGAAACTTTAACAATGGCCGACAATAAAAACAGTTGTCCCGGAGACCGGGCCACTCCCAGCTAGGACTCGGTAATCACGATAATGGGACGGGAACCCGCGCTGGGCGTTCCTCTGGCCGAATTATTATGCGTGATGCGTACGGGAGCCGGCGAGGAGGGTCGTTCCGCGCGCGGAAACGGGGTGAACGCGCGCTCCTCGTTCCTCGGGAAGTCAATAGCTTGGAATCCCGTAGCTTTAAGCGCAGTTTCGACGTCGCTTTAAGTAACAGACCCTCGAACGCGAGTCCCTATAACATGACGAGGATATTGCGACTACTGTTTTCACAACGCGACTCCTCGAGGATGTAATAAACAGTTCAGTTGAACGCTACAGTGTTTCCCTCTTTATCGCCGATCTCTCTTCTAATTGTTTCATTTGTACTACTAAAATAAAAACTCCGTAGTCAGGTTAAATATATTTATTACGCGATGTGGCTCTAACGAGGAACGGCGATTACTGCTTTTCCTCGACAGCTTTTCTAAAAAGGAAAACTCTTCTGACGAGGGCGTACGTTACCCAGGTCATGGTGGTCCCCTTGGTCATAAATTAGTCAATGGGCCTGGACTATCTCTCAGACCCCCAAGTATCGACACGCAAAAGGACGAACCGTCTACACCATTGTTATTGAAAAACCTCCTTAATACCTCCGTAATGTGAAAAACGAATATAACCATTAGATGCTCAGCACTATACCTTAAAACTGTCGTCTGAAGCATTTTCTTCCATCACTCATACTTTCCAAGTTCTCTCGCCTCACTTTCCCGTCGATTCTCGAGAAAATCGGTCTAGAACTCGCGACATCGCCGCTGCCAGAAAAGCTAAATCCTCATTTTGAAACATTCCTTTCATATTCCGTCGTATCGTTACTAGTAACTCGTTTCTCCCTGTATGCATTAAAGTTCATCGAACATCTAAAGAATCGTTCTCGAATCTACACCGAAGTTTTCCGATCCTTAACACTCGACCCTAATTGAGACCGTCGTTCGAAGTTCTCGATCCGTCTAACCGAAACAATTACCAGGAAACAGCTCGCGATAACCGCTCGATGCTCGTTACTAAGTATTCGTATGATCCGCGAGCGAAGGAGTAACTCGATACGATCAATATTTATCACCCAAGTGTATTACGTGTTTCGTACCATCCTGCGTCGATCAATCACGGCGATTCCTCGAGGGCGTCAGCGACGCCCACGACTCGAGTCTCCTCCGGCGAAGACGGCGGAGAACGATTAGAGGAGCGCTCCGCGGATCCGGAGGATTTACCGCGGGATCCTTTGTCGCGGCCGCGGAAATGCACGCGGCAGACGCGTCGCGAGTCAAAGGGAGCGGGCATCAAAGTCGGATCCATTATTCGAATGGGTCTCGTCGCGCCGGCGACCTCCCGCGACGCGCGCGCGAGGCCCTCCCTCGCCGCGGCAGCGATTTTTCCGCCGCGTTGCCCGGAATATTCCCGGCCTTTGACACGGCACCGAATCCGCGCGGCGGCGGGTCGCGCGCCAACTTGGCTGCCGTTTAAACGGCGTCTCCGCTTTCAACGACCGGCCGTGACATTTCGCGCGGAAAACATCGCCGCGCCGGGCGTCCCGTTCGACCGGTCGTCGGATCGCCGGGGAAGTTCGGCGAATTCACGGAAGTTGACCGGTGCCGGCGCGCCGGGGAACTTAAGGCGCGGAAAAGTCAGCCGGAGATTGTTCGCGAAATATCTATCGGTCGTCACCGCGAACTGTCCCGCAGTCTCGGAAGTTTCCGCTGTGCTCGCGGAAGCCTTGACGAATGTGCGATTTTTTGCTTCTGCACTTCTTTCGGAGTTCGATAACGGAATTTGATGCGTTTGATCGCGCTGCTCTTTTGCGATGTGTTAACCCTTTGCACTCGGAAGTTTCTTGCTAGAAATATTTAATATTTTTTGACGAGGCAAAGATGATTTGAAGAGAAGTCATCAGTGCATCGAGGAACAAAGCTGTTTTGTTCGAATGTTTCACGTATCGAGGCATTATAAAGTTCAACATTAAATATCAGATTCTATAGTTTTACTGTATCATCAGGTGGTGACTGAGAGTCACCTCCCGAGTGCAAAGGGTTAAACTGACTATCGGTTTACAATGGAAGGACAGAGTTCCTTTTGCGTTGCTTGCTTAGAGATAGAGGATTGAAGCGATCTTTGCGAGGAACTGTGGCATGTCTGTCGCAATGTGACGCCAGCCACACGCGCAAACAGTCGTTCATTCATACTTTAGCACTAGCAACCGCCTGAGAAAAGAACTATAACCATAAGCTTCGTTATTAACTTTAATTACACTCAAAAGAAACTTTGTTTCTAACGGAAAAGTGGGACATCTCCCCATTCGGTTGGCTAAGTGTTAAGAACTAAGCACTGCAGTGTAGATCCTGCGTCGCTACGCGTTTTCCATCCCTACATTAACCCTTTGCACTCAGAAGCTTTTCGCTAGAAACATTCGACGCTTCGGTGGAACATGGACGAACATTTGAAACGAATTAATGAGAAAACATACGTAAATTAAGAAACATAGCTATTTTATGTAAATACTTCGCATATTGATGTGTTAGACAAAACTTCAACCTTTGCACTCGAAAAATGTCACTAGAAATATTCAATTTATTTTATGAGATATAGATGACTTTTTTTTAAGCTTAACGAGGAATCTATTCACAAAATAAGGGGAACAATGGTATTTTATTTCCACATTTCACAATATCGACAGATTACTCAAGGCTTAACGTTAAATACGAAATTTTACAATTTTTATGCACCAATCGAGTGGTGACTGAGAGGCACCTTTCGAGTGCAAAGGATTAATACTGCACAAGGCTCTTATTAATACATTTATTCTGATTAGTAAATTTGTTCAAAAATATCATTTTTTAACATTTAACACTGTACCATTACTATTAATATATTTCAGATCTTTTTATATTAGGCCTTTATTTCACTAGCTCCTTTGTATTTATTTATTTATTCTATTTATTTGCTTCACTCCAAAACGAAACAACATATTTGAATGCGGTAAAAAGTATTTTATCATTAGATTTTTCACAATTTTCTTAAAAAATTAAAATATACAAGTGAAACTCGCGTTTTTGTCAACGTCAATTAAAGCGTATTAATTCGAGTATTCATTGATTTCAATGAACGTTAAAGTATTATAGAACAAACTAAATATATATGGGTTGAAAGTTACTTACTAAAAACTGGGGTGCACTTACCCCACTCTATAACACTGCAATTTTGTCATATAAAATCAAATGAGAGTCACCTCTCGAGTGCAAAGGGTTATGAAAGAGCACCATCAGAAGCAATGATTAACCAAGCATTTTTCATTCGGTGTTTCAGGTCTCTGCCACCAGGACGCGGTGCACATTACGGCAATCCTGGGGGAGAGCGTTGTCTTCAACTGTCACGTAGAGTTCCCCGGTGAGCACCCAGTGCCCTACGTTCTCCAATGGGAGAAGAAGGTAGGCGACACGGTACGATATCGGACGACACCCTCTGCTCTCTATATCCGTGAGTTAAATACGTGGGCCCCGCTCGAGCGGTTATCGCGTTCTGGTATCAGCAACCCGACAGAGGCTCGACGAGAGCTCTCGAGCCGGGCCGATCCGTTCGATCGGTCCCGACGTAAAAACGTCTCGTCGCGTCGACGTCGCGCGATCGAGATTGCTCGGCTCGGTTATTTAACATTCACCCCAGCCGACCGACGGCGGGACGCGGCGAACCGGTCGGATAACGAATCGAAACGCGGCCGGTTTCCTCCGACCGGACGTCCAGCGGCTCGCGCCGGGGATTCGCCGAAATCGCTGGGACCCGCGGACGCGGACGGACAGCCTCTCCTTTTCGTTTTCCCGGTCGAACGTTGCGTAATCGGGAAACTGGAGCGTGAAACCCGTCGGCGGGGGAGGCGACGGAAAAAGGGTCCGGCGTACGGATGAATGGTGCTCTCGTGTGAGCCACGCGATCGAATCTTCCGCCCCTCCGTCCGCACCGACGTTGCTCTTTTTATCGTTCCCTCTGCCAGCGACAGGCACGGTCACTGGCCGTCCTGCGCGTTGCAGTCGGCGACGTCGACGTATCCATTGTCGCGGTGCCGCTCGCGTACCGATCTCGAGTTTCTCGCGTTAGTCTCTCTCCTCGTTCTCGCTTCGACTTAGAAGGCGATCGAGCTTTCGGGAGTAAATCTCGTATAATACGAAAGTTATAGAATTGTCATAAGCTTACCTCGTCGGGAGTTAATTACCACGGGACAAGACTTACTCCCGAAACTCTCGAGGAACTCCTTTTCGATCCGCGAACGCTTGAGATCTAATAATAGCGTTTCGGAGGTCTCGGAGAACGATAAGCGACGGAGGCGTGCGTCCAGGTGCGAGTTCGCTTCGTATCTCGCGGCGAAATTCGCGCGGAGAATTTATGGGCGCGGACGGGAGGGGCCGGATCGGATGCGCCGGCCCGATACTCGGCGGTCGGGGCGACGGGCTCGGTTTTTATGGGTTCCGCGTGGGCGCGGGTCGCGCGCGCGGGAAAAATACGACCGGCAAACGGCGTCGGGTCGCGGGTCCGAGCTGATACCAGACGCGGAACGGCGGAGCGAGGAGGACGAAGCGGGGCCCCGTGGGCACACATTACCGTTCTTAAAGCATCGCAATACCTGTCGAAGATACTTCGAATTGGCTTACGTATTGTTTATTCGGCGATTTGTTCGCTTCAGTGCTTAAGTTTTCTTTTCGTTCGCGCGTTCTACGTTTGTTGTTTCTCTCGAGTGTTATTCTTTTACGTTCGTTCGTTCGTTATGTTCCCTTGCGTTTCTCGTTTTGGTTGGAACCGGCGGCGAACGGGACACGCCTCTCGTTTCCCATCCGGAGCGGGGACGCCCAGTATCTTGTATTCACGTATTTTTTGGCTTCCCGCTCGCGTAGAGTTTCAAGTAACGAACTTGTTTATTCTTTCCACGATACGTTTCTATACTGTATACGTATGTATATCCGTATATCCGGACTGGAGAGGGCAGAGCACGTTTTTCTACGTCGATCAACGAAAGTCATCCGATCACACGATCTCTTCTCTATCGAACCGGCGATCCTCCGGGCCGATTCGAATCACCAACGGGTCTCTCATATTTACGCATCTCCGCGATCACGGGCCGCGAATCCATCGTGTCTACGCGATCGCCACGTCATCGCCGGGGACGCTGCATCGTGGACTCGAGGGATGACCGGCTATCGGTAGAAGATATAACATCCTCCTAACGCATCCCCGAGTCGCGATACACGCGTCCCCGACAGCTTCGATCGCGTGAGAGTTCGTTGCACCGATTCGAGAAAGAGAAAGGGCTGTTCCTCGTCTCGCGATCACCGGACATATCCGTCTCTCGATCTGGCTTGATGAATCGGCAACCGTTTTTCTCTCCTCTCTTAGCTGCTGCGACAATCTGTCGAATCTCTGCGGAAATTTCCAACCGTCTGTTCGAATCTGTCTCTAAACGGTGTTCACGAGCGTCTAATTCTCGCGATCGACGAGCTCCGTCTTCCTTAACACAAGCGCCGTGTCAGTCACTGGTGACTGGCGCTTCTGAATGACTAAAAATCAATCGTAACGTACAAGACAACCGATGTGAAATAAAAATGTTTAACAAGGCAACTAGGTTGATAATAGTAACGCAAACGTTGCAAACAATTCATAATTATTCCTACTTTTCTTTACAAAAGACAAACTCTATGTGAAGACGCTTAAGATTTTCGTAGCTCTTCTTACTTAAGAATTCTTATTCTCCCATCGTCATCGTATCGTCTACATTCTACGATGTATTCGTCACGAGTAACACACTTTGAAATCGCAGCGGAGCTCGTCGATCGCCAGGAAACGGGGTAGTGCACTCACCTTCCTCTCGGAGGCGGGAAATCGGGAAATCACGTCTCTGTCTCTCTAACTTCTGGTGTTCTGCATGAAAGCGCGGGCGCGGCGGCTCGCGGATTCGCCGACGGCGGGGAGGCCGACCTCGGAATCGGCCGTCGTTCCTCGAAATCGAAAGCTCGGATAAAACCGGGCGGGGAGGGAGTTCGTTAGCGGTCCCGGTCGGCGATCCGAGAGCCCGCACGCGAGCACGACCGCGGATATTACCTAACATGCCATAAGACGAATGGTTCCTCGTATCGTCGGCGCGGCATTAAAAAAAATTATGGCTCCGGCTGGAACGCGTTATCTGGTTGTCGTTACGAGGCGGCCGCGCACCTGCATGCTCGTAGTTTCTGCCGGACTAATCTGCGTGTCACCCGCGGACGTGCACGGCCGGGCCGCGTCGGTGCCGTTACCGTTTAATCCGTCGCGTTCCGCTGAGAAACGAGGGGGCCGAGAGAAATGAGCGTCCCCGTCGAACGTTCGACGCGCTCGAAAAAGGGACGAGAGGAAAAGTTCGCGCGAGAGTGTGCGACGCCGGTACTCGTGACGTATCGACGCGCTCAATCTTGAGGATCTCGAGCGGTTTGCGCATTGTTCTTTCGCGGAGGTGATGGATAGACGCAATTATTAATTATATCGCGATGGAGATCTTAGGGTGTTTAGTTATTCGTCTTGTTATGGCACTCGGAAGTTACTCGGTGGATGGGGTTCAACGATTTGTCGTGAAACTGAGCGATGAGAGGATATATTTGAGTTAAGAAACGCTGTTTTATTTCAATATTTCACATATTGGTGTATTATGCAGAGGTTAATATTATATAGAAGACTTTATAATGTGTTGGGGTGTTAATCCTTTGCATTCGAAAGTGTTTCGTTAGAAATATTCAACAGTTTCTATTAAGATATGGACGAAACTTCTGAAAATGGAGTTATTAAGAAGTCGTACTTAAATGAGGAAACGTAGCTATTTTATTTCAATATTTCACATATTGGTGAATTATGTAGAGGTTAATATTATATACATATAATATTTTCTATCGAAATATGGACAACACTTCTAAAAATGAAGTTATTAAGAAATCATACTTAAATGAGTAAACGAAGCTATTTTATTTCGATATTCCACATACTCACGAATTATACGAAGCTCCATAATTTCTCTATCGAACCATATGGCGACTGGGAGTTCCCTCGATTGCAAAGTGTCGAACACCGTCGCGGAGAAGCGAGAACATTTTTGCAGGGCGAAAGGACCATGTCGATCGACACCGGATTTCGGGACGATTACCGGCCACGTCGGCCGTGGCTGGGACGCATTAACCGTGAATTCAATATTGACCCGGCTAACCCGCGTATCCATCCTCGTGTAATTAATTAATCGATCGATCGATTCCGCGGGACAATACTGTGATTGCCGCAAATGACAATCGCATCCGCTTCCGCGCGACCGGGTTCTCTTATAACGATCAGCGTCCGCGTGATCCGCGCCGCGCGCCACCGATCATCGGCTTCCTCCGCGATCATGGCTCCATCCTGGGATCGGACCAATAGAAATTGATTGGAATTATAATGCCGACATGGCACGGTTGTCATTAACGGCTCGCGGTCGCAGCATTTGCTATCCTTTCGACCAATAATACGAATTTCCATCGGTGAAACGGTCTACGACAAACGTCAGCTAGTTCGAGCGTGACTAAAATTAAAGTTCAACCCCTCCGCAGCCGTTTAGAATCTGCTGCTCCAGATTCTTTAACCTTTTCCTCGCCCGATTCTCCGGGAATAAGCTTGCCGCGTGAATCTTTAAACGGATTCGAATTTGTAAAGGATTACCTAATACTCCACTGTCGAACTTCTCCGATCATTTCTATAGATAGACTTTAGTAGCCTGTCTATAACAAACGAACGTTTCTAAAACTTCTCTGATCATTTCTATAGATAAACTTTTTAGTAGCCTGTCTATAAACAAACGTTTCTAACGTGTCAGACTCGAAAATTTCGAACCGAATTCGACGAATCTAAATGTTACCTATTGACTTCTATAAATTATTACCCATCTATTATTAATCTTTTACCTTTAGAGTAAATATACACAAAATAAGTCGTTTCTCATTCTACTGAATTATTAAAGTTATTTTATCAAGCACAGTTCAGAAATAAATCATAAGCCAGGGTGTTAACCCTTAGCACTCCAGATTGTTTCGTAATCTATCAGCAACTGCAATTTTTATAGTATTCTCAGCGAAAATGAACAATGCTATAATATTTCTTCGATCTTTCATTTTCCTTACTACAAAATTTGGTTGCGCGGAGAATCTGATAATTTTAGGGTAGTTTCTTTAAGATCCATTAAAATATTACAACTGGTGCAATATTGGAGCCTACAGGGTTCAAAGTGTACACTAGCATCAACAGCGCCGACAACTTAATTACCGCAACACTTCCCTCCGGTGATCAAAGGATCAAGGGGTGTATTCATCGATCACAAAGGCTCCGCGTGAAGTCTGATTCCGATCGAGCGGCCGATTCTTTCCGGTCGGGACCTCGGACCGCGTCCCGAGCGACGGAACGATGCGCTGTC